ACCGCCGCCGCCGCCATGGCCTCGGCGAGCGCCCTCATCAATGAAGGAGACGAGAAGTTAGGGAAGAAAAAGAAGAGGTTGCCCAAACTGATAATTCCATGTCTACCCTGAATGTGTTGTTCATTTATCCAACGTGGAACTTGATAGACAATAATAAATGAATCCACATAAGCTGTCCCATAGACTTGGTCCATATTTTGGGTCCAAAAATAATTACTCATATATAAAATCTCTTCCCCTTGAAAATACCACATGACATCTCTTTCCCCTGAAAATACCACATGGGAAAATCACCCCCTCACTCTAAGGGTGTTTGTTTTGTATCACAAAATTTATGGATATGGATTTCACCATAGAATTTGAAATCCATAAAATTTTTTGTGGGTTTTGGGATCTCTAAAATTTTGTTTGTTTCATCAATATTTTGGGATTTAGAATGCTATAATTTGTAATATTTTGTTTGTTTCATCAATATTTTGGGATTTGGAATACTATAAATTATATATTATAATATTATATAATATTTTAATAACATATATTATATAACATATATAATATATATTATATATAATATATATATATATATATATATATATATATATAATATTTATATAATATATTTATATATATTATATATATATTTATATATTATATTAATATATATACATAGATATATTAAAATTATATATATAATCATATTTATATTATAATTATAATATATATATAATATATACGTAAATTACTACAGTAATTTACTTGCAATATTTAGCTAGCGCAGAAGTATAACATTTATATATATAATATATATATTATTATATAATTTATATATATTTAGATATATTATAAATTTTATATATTTAATATTTATATTATATATAAATTATCTATATTATTTATTAAATAATATATATAATATAATATATATTATATATATTATATTGATATATAAATTATATTCTATCATATATATATATTATATATATAAATAATTATATTATTTATGTAATATACTTATTTATATATTATAATATATATATATTATATATATATTAGTATATATATATATAATATATATATTATACTCTATAGGCAAAACTTATGTCAACTTAAGTTGACATCCACCAAAGTTCTTATAATATACTAACTATATATATCTATTATATATATATATATATATATAGTAGATATATATAATATTATATTTAATAGATATATATACTATATATATATATATATATATATATATATATATAATGCTACAATAATTTACTGCAGCATTTACTACAGCATGAACAGTGATTCTTGGGTCCTCCTATTATTATAGAGGAATAGATGTATTATATTAAATATTATATTATTATAATATTATATATAATATATTAATCTTATTTTAATCTTATATTATAAGCATTAATACATCAATATCCAACCTACATCCTCTCTCAATTGTAGAATTTCACAAATTCTAAAATATAATAGTTTTTTATTATTTGGGGATTCAATATCCCAAAATTGGTTTTGAAACAAACATGGTTTATGGAATTCTAAAACCCAAAAAACTTGTAATCCACCTTATATCCCAAAAAGAAGTTGAAACAAAAGAGAGGATTTCATAAAAATCCTAAAAATATATTATTTTTTTATAATTTAGGGATTCAATATCCCAAAAAAAAGTGAAACAAACAATGTTTATGGAATACCAAAACAAAAAAAAAACACTTTTTACATCCCAAAACTTAAAATCCACCCTATATCCCAAAAAAAAAGTAAAACAAACACCCCCTAATTATTTCACCCACATCGTTCTTCCCCCTTTCTTCAATTCCCAACATAGCCTTTCACCCACCTCCTCATCCCCCTTTTTATTTCTAAGGGCATCTCCAACCATACCCTCCAAATTTCACCCTCCAAATTGGAATATTCTAGGAATATTCTAATTTGGAGGGTGAAATTTGGAGGGTTGCTCTAACCCACACTCTCCAAATGTTTTTATTTTTATTTTTTTATCAAAAAAGCCATATAAATTAAATAATGTTGGATATAGTTTACGTTAATAATTTTATTGTTAATAATTTATTTGGAAAAAAATTTATAACATTATAAAGGTATCGATGAGAGCTTTAAAATAAACTCAATATTAATACTGCAATACAACATATTAAAAAAGAAGAAATTCTGAAATAACAGTGAAAGTATACATCAATAGAACAAGAAAGCAAATTCTGAAATAACAGTAAAATTTTATGTCTGATACTTATTTGTGATGAAGGGCGTCAGGAGGAATAACCTGTATTACTTGACTGGAGGTATAGTGGCAGGTGGAGAACTGGTGACTTATGTTGATTCGACTAGACTGCGGCATTTGGGGCATGGTCATTCCAGTATTGATTCCTCGCATAGATTAAAAGAGGGTGCGAAGACCTGCAGTTTAAAGTCCAGTGAACATGTTGATGTGAGCAAGAGGACCGGTGTGAAGTTTGGCACCTCTATTCACCGCGCTAAGGGTTGTTCTGGAGGAGTTCACGTGGATGTTTGGGGGCCTTTCAAGGGGGCATCATTGGGAGGTAATCAAAGTTTGGTTTCCTTTGTTGGTGGTTGTTCTAGGCGTGTTTGGGTTGTAACCAAATCCCATTTGGATAAAGTCCTAGTAGTCTCCAACAGATTGAAGAAGTGTGATATTGGCAGAAAGGTGAAGGTACTTCACTCTAGTTTGGGTGGGAGATACAAGATGGACATGTTTCTGTATTGGAGCCGAGCTCACGGCATTTCGAGACACTTCGTTGGAAAGAAAATTTTAGGGCAACTAGAGAGGGTGACAAATTTGGAGAATCGTGCCTTGCTGGAGGAGGATCGGTGTTTGTTGTCAAGCAATGGTCTGCAGAAGAGTTTCTGGACAGAGGCTTCGGCATATTTGGGTTATTCTATCAAAGAGTTGTCAACTGCTGTGATTGGAGGTAAAACTCTATTGGAAGATAGGTCTGATTGTGTCACTTTGTCAACTGCTGTGATTGGAGGTAAAACTCTATTGGAAGATAGGTCTGATTGTGTCACTTTGGTTGAGGCTTTGATGAGGGAGCTAATTGACTCTCAGCAGGTGGAGAGTTTTGGACAGACCTTAGATGTATCGCAGCGGGTGGAGTTTGATGCTACTCCACATTGGGTGAAGATTACTCCAGATCATACTGCATTATTTGGGATTCCAGCTGAGATGACACAACTTGGGGATCATTTGAATTCGGATGCAGATGATGAGTTGGGTTTTGATTCCAGTGCAGCTGATAGATGTAGTTTGGATATGGCCATTGGTTCACCTCAGGTGGAGGTGTTTGAAGCCATTGGAGGTGCTATCAGTCGCAGAGTTGATGATATTGGAGAAGGGTTGCAAACTCTTCTATTGGATTGAGATCGTTCGCGGCCATTTTGGTGAACTACATTCGGCTTGATTCCTTGGGCAAGAGGATACGTAGGCAGTCTTTACGATGCAGCCGGTTTGGATTTTGATGGGGGTGAGATCGATTTGGTGAGTTGATACCGACATTTGGAGAGTGTTCACATTCTCATTTGGGCTCTCGACTTGTTATGGATTGAGTCCGTTGTCGTGAATTGTTTCACTTCGTACTGGACACAACAAGTGAGGCGTTTGTTTTGGTTGGTGTCGGTTCAGTTTTGGAGAAAATTTCACCGAGGTGGAGAATTGTTGGAGGCATGCTTATGGGGGCCACACGAGTACAGTAAGCTACCATGTGATTGTTGATTGCGTGTGGGACTACAAACTTTAAAGAAGGCCACGTGAAAAGATAATGTCTCAAGAGATAACGTGTTTTCTTCTTCGTGTGGGGGCCACAAGTGTTCGTGGGAGAATTCCATTGGGTTTTTTTTTCGAGTGGCACGTGAAGTGATCTCGTGTCCAGCGGACAAAGCCCACCCGATTGCAAATTGCAGCTATATATATACGTTCGGTTCCTAGGGTTGCGGTGTGCAAATTTGAGGGGTGGGATAGCGTGCAAAGGACAGCTGCAGAGGTGAAAAGTGCAAGCAAAAGGGGAGCTTTTGAATTGCGGCTGCAGCGGCTAAAGAGCAGAAGTCAGAGGGTGAAAAGAAAACTTTTGGGCGGCGTGCAAGCAAAGCAGAGAGAGAAAAGCAGATTGCTTTTTTGGCTGTTTTGAAGAGGAGTTCTGTGCAGCGTCTTTTAGGTTTTAGTATCCTTTTTGTGAGAGATTGAGAGATTGTTTGAGGGTTTAGATTTGAGAGATTGTAAACCCTATTTGTATTCTCTTTCCTTCTATTAGTAGATCCCCCTTCTTGCCCCGTGGACGTAGGCAGTTTGCCGAACCACGTAAAATTGGTTTGTTTTGTGTTTGTGGCTATTGTAATAGTTTTAGGATCCCTCGACAAGTCAGTCCTAGAACTGATGAGAGGAAGAGTCGATATCTCACTTTGTTGAGATATTCGCTTCAGATTCTTATCTCTTTGGTGAGACGATAATTCTTATTGGGATCTTTCTCTATTATTGTGCACCAAAAACTCTGCCAAAATTTTCGCTGCGCACAACAAGTGGTATCAGAGCTCGGGATACGCTTGGGCTATTTGGAGGAGTAGATCAATTTGGAGGCTCATCTAGGGCTTCGTTTGGTGATAAATGTGTGATCTTTTGGTAAAAGACTCTATCTTTTTAGTTTTGGATCTATTATTCGTTCGTTGGTGCGTTGAGAAAAATGTCGGGGAAAGAAGGTACTTCGGATGTCGAGGGTGGTGCTTCTGGCGCGAAGATCATTCAGAGTTTGAATATCCACTCTATGAAGATAGATGTGGAGAAATTTAATGGCACAAATAATTTTGGATTATGGAGATGCGAGGTTTTGGATGCGCTGAACGCGCAGAATTTGGAGGATACCTTAGAGTTAGATAGCAAGCCAGATGAGATTGAAGAGAAGGTTTGGAAGAAGATGAATCGAACAACGTGTGGTGTGATTAGGTCTTGTTTGACTCAAGATCTAAAATATGATGTGATGAAAGAAACTTCTGCGAAGAAGATTTGGGAGATTCTCAAAAGCAAGTATCTGACAAAGAGTGTTGAGAATCGCTTGTATTTGAAGAGGAGACTTTATCGTTTCCAGTTGAAGAAGGGAACCTCAAATAGAGATCACATGAACACCTACACAAAGCTTCTTGCGGATTTGGCGAATGTGGATGTTATAATTGAAGATGAGGATAAGGCGTTGCTGTTATTGAGTTCCTTACCAGACGAGGAATATGAGACATTCGTCCTTACTCTTATTAATGAGAATGCAACCCTTTCGTATAGTGAGGTCACCGCTACACTTGTGAATTATCAGCTTCGAAAGAAGGATAATGAGGCTTCAGCTGAGCCGGTAGCGGAGGCGTTGGTCGCAAGAGGGAAGCGTCCAAACCGAAAGAATTGGAAGTCACAGTCTAGAGTAGGACATCCTACAATTGGAAAAGATCAGTGTGCTTGGTGCAAGAAGACCGGTCATTGGAAGAAAGACTGCCCAAAGCTCGACGAATGGATGAAGAATAAGCAGAAAGGAAAAGGAAAACAACCATCATCAGAAGCAAACATCGTATCGGATGGTAATATTTCTAACTCTTCTATTTATTCGCTTTCTATCAGTCCGAAAGATAGCTACTCGGAGGAACCCGAGTGGATATTGGATAGTGGTGCGACCTATCATGTGTAACCTAGAAGGGAATGGTTCTCTAGTTTTGAGAAACTGGATAGTGGTGTGGTGTACATGGTTGATAACCGTGCATGCCAGATCCTTAGGATAGGAAGAATTCGCATAAAGATGTTTGACGGGACTGTTAGAGAGTTAAATGATGTGAGATATGTTCCTTCTTTGAGGAAGAACTTGATCTCGATTGGAACTTTGGTTGGAGAGGGTCTGAATGTTCGAATTGAGGACATGGTTCTCAAGATTGTGGAAGACTCTCGGATTGTGATGAAGGGCGTCAGGAGGAATAACCTGTATTACTTGATTGGAGATATAGTGGCAGGTGGAGAACTGGCGACTTCTGTTGATTCGACTAGACTGTGGCATTTGGGGCTTAGACATTCCAGTATTGATTCCTCGTATAGATTAAAAGAGGGTGCGAAGACCTGCAGTTTAAAGTCCAGTGAACATGTTGATGTGAGCAAGAAGACCGGGGTGAAGTTTGGCACCTCTATTCACCGCGCTAAGGGTCGTTCTGGAGGAGTTCACGTGGATGTTTGGGGGCCTTCCAAGGGGGCATCATTGGGAGGTAATCGAAGTTTGGTTTCCTTTGTTGGTGGCTATTCTATGGATGTTTGGGTTGCAACCAAATCCCATTTGGATAAAGTCCTGACTTCTATTGATTCGTCTAGACTGCGGCATTTGGGGCTTGGCCATTCCAGTATTGATTCCTCGTATAGATTGAAAGAGGGTGCAAAGGCCTGCAGTTTGAAGTCCAGTGAACATGTTGATGTGAGCAAGAAGACCGGGGTGAAGTTTGGCACCTCTATTCACCGCGCTAAGGGTCGTTCTGGAGGAGTTCACGTGGATGTTTGGGGGCCTTCCAAGGGGGCATCATTGGGAGGTAATCGAAGTTTGGTTTCCTTTGTTGGTGGCTATTCTATGGATGTTTGGGTTGCAACCAAATCCCATTTGGATAAAGTCCTAGTAGTCTCCAACAGATTGAAGAAGTATGATATTGGCAGAAAGGTGAAGGTACTTCACTCTAGTTTGGGTGAGAGATACAAGATGGACCTGTTTCTGTATTGGAGCCGAGCTCACGATATTTCGAGACACTTCGTTGGAAAGGAAATCTTGGGGCAACTAGATAGGGTGACAAATTTGGAGAACCGTGCCTTGCTGGAGGAGGATCGGTATTTGTTGTCAAGCAATGGTCTGCAGAAGAGTTTCTGGACAGAGGCTTCGGCATATTTGGGTTATTCTATCAAAGAGTTGTCAACTGCTGTGATTGGAGGTAAAACTCTATTGGAAGATAGGTCTGATTGTGTCACTTTGGTTGAGGCTTTGATGAGGGAGCTAATTGACTCTCAGCAGGTGGAGAGTTTTGGACAGACCTTAGTTGTATCGCAGCGGGTGGAGTTTGATGCTACTCCACATTGGGTGAAGATTACTCCAAATCATACTGCATTATTTGGGATTCCAGCTGAGATGATACAGCTTGGGGATCATTTGGATTCGGATGCAGATGATGAGTTGGGTTTTGATTCCAGTGCAGCTGATAGATGTAGTTTGGATATGGCCATTGGTTCACCTCAGGTGGAGGTGTTTGAAGCCATTGGAGGTGCTATCAGCCGCAGAGTTGAGGATATTGGAGAAGGGTTGCAAACTCTTCTATTGGATTGAGGTCGTTCGCGGCCATTTTGGTGAACTACGTTCGGCTTGATTCCTTGGACAAGAGGATACGTAGGCAGTCTTTACGATACAGCCAGTTTGGATTTTGATGGGGGTGAGATCGATTTGGTGAGTTGATACCGACATTTGGAGAGTGTTCGCATTCTCATTTGGGCTCTCGACTTGTTATGGATTGAGTCCGTTGTCGTGAATTGTTTCACTTCGTACTGGACACAACAAGTGAGGCGTTTGTTTTGGTTGGTGTCGGCTCAGTTTTGGAGAAAACTTTACCGAGGTGGAGAATTGTTGGAGGCATGCTTGTGGGGGCCACACGAGTACAGTAAGCTACCATGTGATTGTTGATTGCGTGTAGGACTACAAACTTTAAAGAAGGACACGTGAAAAGATAATGTCTCAAGACTCAAGAGATAACATGTTTTCTTCTTCGTGTGGGGGCCACAAGTGTTCGTGGGAGAATTCCATTGGGTTTTTTTTCGAGTGACGCGTGAAGTGATCTCGTGTCCAGCGGACAAAGCCCACCCGATTACAAATTGCAGCTATATATATACGTTCGGTTCCTAGGGTTGCGGTGTGCAAATTTGAGGGGTGGGATAGCATGCAAAGGACGGCTGCAGAGGTGAAAAGTGCAAGCAAAAGGGGAGCTTTTGAATTGCGGCTGCAGCGGCTAAAGAGCAGAAGTCAGAGGGTGAAAAGAAAACTTTTGGGCGGCGTGCAAGCAAAGCAGAGAGAGAAAAGCAGATTGCTTTTTTGGCTGTTTTGAAGAGGAGTTCTGTGCAACGTCTTTTACGTTTTAGTATCCCTTTTGTGAGAGATTGAGAGATTGTTTGAGGGTTTAGATTTGAGAGATTGTAAACCCTATTTGTATTCTCTTTCCTTCTATTAGTAGATCCCCCTTCTTGCCCCGTGGACGTAGGCAGTTTGCCGAACCACGTAAAATTAGTTTGTTTGAGTTTGTGGCCATTTTTTAGGATCCCTCGACAAGTCAGTCCTAGAACTGATGAGAGGAAGAGCCGATATCTCACTTTGTTGAGATATTCGCTTCAGATTCTTATCTCCTTGGTGAGACGAGAATTCTAATTGGGATCTTTCTCTATTATTGTGCACCAGAAACTCTGCCGAAATTTCCGCTGCGCACAACACATTTTCCCTCTCTCTGCGTTTCAATCTCTCTGCCTCTTGGTATTCTCCCCGTCGATTCCACTTCTCCATGATTGTAATTACCAATCTCATATCTCAATGCTCTGTATTCCAAAAATCTATTAACCCTCTCATCCTTCTCCCAAATTCTACAAGCACTAGCGTCATGAGCTGATGGTACCTTCGCCTCTGTTGTCGCCTCTTCACCTCTGTTGCCCCCTCTCTAGGCACCGCCGCCAACTCGATTTCGAGCTCAATTTTGAATGTTTTATCTATTCTTTTTGTGGTTGTTTAAAGCTCAAAAACTAATAAACTCTTCTCTTTTATAAGTAATCATTTTTCTTCAGTTTTCCTTCATGGGTTTCTCTTATTCTTCGCCTTTTCTATATTGGGTCTTTTTCGAATTTTGTATCAAAGCTTGGCACTTTGTAGTCATGGAACTTTTGATGTAAAACTGGGTCCTTTTTTCTTGCATTTGAGGTGTTTGAGTTTTTGCCTCTGTTATTTGTTGTGTCCTCAAATTGTCAACAAGAGCTCCAAATAGTTTAGCCACCAGACTGGGAGGAAAAATTAAGCTAATTTATAACATGAGCAGGTATGTTATATAGTCTTTTATTTTTTTTTCTTCTTATATATTAATCAAGAAAATTATATTTCTCAATAAGAGTAATTAACATTTTTTGATTTTTTTGAAAATGATAATTGATAAAGGATTCTTTTGATCTATATTTAGCTTTTTTTTTCAAAAAACTATTTTAATGCAACTCTATTTGCTACAGCTACAAGCATTCTTACTAAGGGCATATCTACAGGTTCATTTTACAGTCCTTTTCTTTTCTTTACATTAACTATACTATCTAATAAGCAAACTTGTGTGTCATCGTAATTTTATATCCATAATTGTCTTAATATAACAATAAGCATTTTATTCTTTTAATGTTTTATTATTTAGTTGGTGTTCTGAGATGAGTTGTTCTGAATTTTCAAGATTTATTTTTGATTTTGAAGGAAAGGAGGAGTTTTTTTTATAGCAAAAGGAGGAGGAATTTGTAGAAAAGGTATGTACTTTTAACTAAAATTTTTGATTTTTTTCTAATATTTCAAGTAATCATGGATGAGACATAAAGTACCAAAATAGCGCAAGATCCGGATCAATATATGATTATAATGCAAGCAACTTTAACCAGTAGATCGGCTCAGTTATGGAAGATTTCCTCGTCTTTTATGTTTTTAAATTTTGAGCTTACAAATGAGACTTCGATTGATTATGTTATGTAAAAAATATCGTTTCCAATGCAAGTCTAAAATATAGTACCAAAATATGTGTAAACTATTGCAAAATTATGTAACGTCATTTATATTATGAAGTTTTTAAGTTTATTTCTTATTGTGCATGAATTATATTGTTGCTTTTTGGCGAATGAAGAGGATTAATGTTTCTATGTAGTATTTTGTTTTTCACTTTCTTGTTTCCTTTTTTACTTCTTGCTCTTTTGTTCATGTGTCTGTTAAGTATGGACATGTCCCGAGTAGTAGGCTAGCTAAAGCGGTTTCAAAGTNGGTTGGGATAAGTGTAATCATCTCTATTTTCATTTCACCACTTCGAATTTGGGATCTCAATCTACCTGTTGATCTATCCAGCTTAGATGATGAGATTATTTATGCTATCTCCATTATCTAAGACATGAGTTTAAACTGTATTGGTTGTTTGGCAAAGGAAAAGCTATCTAAGATTTGATTTGCTCTAGCTATATCATATAAACCAAATGTGTCTGGCTATCATTTGTTTCTCAAATGGTTTGATAGTTTTGTTAAGCATTCATGCATCTTACTTTTGTGGAATTGTTCTCTCTAATGTTTATCTTTAGTATCTATATAGTTTAAAACGTGGTTGCCATACATTTCTATAAAAGTAGCTTATTTAAATGGTTAATAAAGTTGATATCACTTATCGTATACTCTTATGGTTTGATATTATTCTTGAACGCCCAATTGAATGGTAAATTTAACATCAAATGTACTTTTATCCCAATTTGATATTATTTCTAATTAATTTAATTTTACTATCATAAGACTGAAACTTGTGGAAGATTCTTCGTCTCAACGATTTAGTCAGATTCCAACTGAAAAAGCTTATTCCATCGAGGATGATTTTTTGTTATTAACTGAACGGAAGACACTTGATGAAATTCGAGAGGCACGAGAGGTAATTATTTTGAAGAAGTGACTTTATTGATATTACACTGCTTATTTAAAATGTGGGATTAGTGGCAAACTAGATAACTAATCTGAAGACAATTGATAATTTTCTACCAAATTATTCATAACTTTATTTTCTTACTATTTAATAAAACTCAGGTTTTCACATGTGTGACATTAGCAACTATAGAGAAAATTCAGACAGTTAAAATTGGTTTTACAATGCCTGCAAAAAATGTCAAAGGAAGGTAAAGGCTGAAAATGATAAATTTTGGTGTGAGAAATGCAATGAAAATGCAAGATTTGTTATCCCAATGTACGTTAGGAAGTATGTATGTCAGTTTCTTCACAAGTTATATTTCATCATATGCTTCATGAATGGATGTCTGGATCTTCAACGTACACTTTAGATCACAGTTCTTATTGGTTTATTTTAGTTTTTGAGTTTCCTCAGGTACATGGTTCAGGTTTTAGTCATTGACCATACATGTGCTACATCATTTGTTCTGTTTGATCGTGAAGCTAAACAATTTATTCACAAATCTGCAGTCGAATTGAGGGAACGACTGACAAAAATAATCACTCTGATTCCTTTCTGTAAGAATTAAAAGTTTTAATTCAATAGCTTTACTTTGCTTCTTTAATTGAGGGAACGACTGACAAAAGTAATCACTCTTTTGATGTTGTTGCTTCTTTCACCTTTATCACTTTGTATTTCGTTTTATTATTGTTCTCTTGATTCTACATTAACAGTGCAAAAATCTTTTCTTCATATCTTATTAGTATGCTAACTAAATAGATAAAATAAACATGCCTTTATTTTCCCAGAATGTTTAGAATATGTTATTAATTTTTGATTTTTTAAAAGGATGCATTATATATTGTCAGATTCTTATCTAACATATGAGTAGAATGACTTTTAATAATACAAGTTTTTTTTTACCATTTGAGTTTTAGAAGTTTTCAAAACAAATTAAAACTTGAAGTTTAGTTAACATTATTTCTGGCTTGTGTTCTATTTGTCAATGACCTATTGTCAATCCCGTGAAGCTTCTAATTAACTTTTGACACTTTACATCAAAAACTTCCACCACCTTCTCCTTGATGTACAAATTAAAAAAAATTAAATACTTAATTGAACCATGCATTTATTTGATCATAAAAAACTTAACCATAGATTAATTGAGAAAAGTAGCTAGCTTATTTACTAGAATTCACCGAGAAGATTTCTGATTATAGGTTGTCATAGTAATCCTTCTTAATGTAATACCAAATTCTTTGATTATAGGTTGTCATAGTAATCCTTCTTAATGTAATACCAAATTCTTTAATATCTTTTTGAGTAGTATCTTTTGTTGCTACAACTTTCACCATGTAATACCAAATTCTTTAATATCTTTTTGAGTAGTATCTTTTGTTGCTACAACTTTCACCATTATCACTCTGTATTGCCTATTTCTTTTCGCTTTAATATTGATTTCTTGATTCTTCACATTAATTGTACAACAATCTTTTCCTGCCACCTCATTAACATGCTAACTATTATGTTATACTGAAACACATGGCTCGCTATCGGTCACTGGTGACAATGAAGTTGAAATTTGTTCCTCGGATAACATTACTCCTTGCAAGAGAAATTTGTTGGAATCTGATGTCAAGCACTCAGTTTCAGTAGACTTGATTTCTCCGTAAATGTCTAGCAACAAAAAGCAAAAACAGATCAAGATTGAAAAAAAAGAATTGGATTATTCTACAGAGAGTTCAAGGTACTTTTTGATAAATCTATATCTGATTCATGATGTCTGAAACTTATATTTAGTATTCTGGTCTAAAAACTTATTTAGTAAACTTTTGTATGTACTACATATTTTTTTGTGGTTTTGCATTGAGAAACCTAACTACTTAATATGATTATGATAGGTATTTTGTTTATCAATATATTGATAATTATTGTCTTGATTCATATAGATATATACTTGACAGGTATCTCAAGGTGCTTTAAATATTTTGTTTGGAACTAAACTTTATACTACATACTAATTACTTGGTATAGCAAAATATTATAACATTAATTATATAGACATGAAACATTTTATCTATTTTGTTATGATAATAGGGAAATTATATTTTGATTTTTTTTACAGTTTAATAGTAAGTCAAACATATATGCAGCTTAGGTTGTATCATTTCTGACTACTTATATATTATTACTGTTTTATTTTGCATTCTTTTGCTACATCAATTTTTGTATATTAAACAAATCCGTGTATCGCACGGGCCTGAAACTAGTGATGAAGTATTTCCAGAGTATCGCAAAAGTTACGGATTCTGTTACATACACACCAACAAGCAACGAGCATCCGTAAAATAAAGGAAGGCAACCATACATTATCAATTGCCCAGAAAAGCAAATAAATATCAATTCATGCACTGAACATAATCAAGACTAAAGTATCTGGCCAACTAAATTAACTACACTACATAAATAGAAATATCACATGCTAGAAACTATATGAAGATCTACAATGGATTTGGTGAGATCCAAATCGGCGGAACCTGGTACCTGACATTTAGTTTCTTAAACCTTTGAAAGCGTTCATATTCGAAATCGTATATGCCCATATCACAAATAGAATCCTCATCAATCAGCCCATCGGCCACCTTCCCCCTTGCAATGTTCCTATGTCCCAACCCATGATCTGTAAAATAAATGCAATTCGGCTTGCATCCTTGATACTCAACTGCTGGTACACACTGCGAATAATTCTGACCCAAAAACAAAGCTTGATCACCCAAGCTTTCAACCAAAACCCATTTAAACTCGAATTTACCTCTCTCTGCAATCCCATTGAGGGTGATGAAGAAAACACCTTCAGGCTCGACAGGCTCATCAAGAGGTTCAAGCTTGTACACCAAAAAAGCAGTTGTCCTATACATAACTCCGTCATCCGCATCCCATTCATCATCATCTCCATCGTCTTCATCATCATCATCTCCTTCGTCTTCATCACCTTCATCTCCATCGTCTTCGTCATCTTCATCGTATCGTAAATCATAGAATCTTGCGACTAGCAACAGATCTCCGTGTATTGATTCAACCAAATATCTCTCCCCTGTAAGCATGGGTGGTGCACTTGCAATTTGTTTCATCTTCTGCTCGCCTGCAAAATCGCAAACCACAGCTACCCCCAGATCATTAACAGCATATATCTGACGCTGGTAATAAATGACATCTTGGATGTGCATCAGGGAATCCTCTACATTGGTCCACTTGTCCTCTCCAACCCTACAAAACGATAGCACGCCGAAATTGGAGATGATTGCCGTGGCTATTATGTGGTCATCATTATCACCCAAGTTTCTCCTCTTACTCGAAGGATCTGACGATATAATGGCCTTCTCTACAAACCCGAAATCATTGAATTCACCATATGTGAAACCGCCTTTAGGATGTTCAAATGCATCAAGGGATGGAAGAGGGATTTGGGCCCTCGTTAATGGATTCAAGAGCTCAATGCCTCGACCTTGGGTATCCACTACGAACAACCAACCATGACAGGATCCAACAACCCACTTGTTTCCTATTTCTGGAACAAGAAAATCCCCGTGATTTCTCCCGTCCAAAACAGAAAAGAAGTTGATGTTTTCCCACTCGTTATCACGACACTGCATTAGCAATGGTAAGGGACGGGGTTTAGTAGAGAGGCAACATCGGCACAACGGTAGTTTTGGTGGAAGCAAGTGAAGATTATTCATGATAACGGAGCGGGATTCTTTACAAACAGCACTAAATCGAAGAATGTCTGCATGATCAGCTATCTTTTCCGTGATAAGTTTCAAGAGATCGGCAGTTAGTCTATCAAATGAGGCCATTTACATTTTACACTACTCCTGAAAAAGATAAAATCAAGAGGGAAATTAGAGATAGAGAGAGAAGAAGCATTAAGCGGTTGATCAAGTAATTAGTGGGTTAAAACACGCCGCATGATCGCAGCACATAATAGCATACGTCCTCAAGAGGAAATAAAACATCTTAAGAACAATTATGTATATGAGAAAAAACTATTTGTCTAAGATTAGATGATTATTTTAAATAAAAGGTCATTCTTAAATCTAAGAATGCATGCCCTGTTTAAATTTTTGTAATCTTTTTTAAATCTAAGATTATACTATTCCTAAAATTGAGGAAAAATAATTGCCCTAGTGAGGTATGATGATCGTGTTTGGATACTACAAGAATTCTCTAACGTCTCGTTTGGTACGCGGGAATAGAGTCAAGTGAGAATGGAAAGAAGGTAGGAATGGAATGGAATAGATGTGGGAATAGAATGTAAATTCTCATTCTCATATTTGGGCGCGTTTAAGGAATGAAACAGGAATGACAATCTTATTCTCATTCCCACGTTTGGTATCCTTTGTTCACAAGTGAGAATAAAATTTAGTTTTCTAATAATGTCCTTACCAAAACATAGAATTTTAAAAACATTAAAAATATTTTTAAAATGACTAAATAATTTATTTTTTAGAAAAATGAGTTTTATAGAAATGATATTTTTTCCTTAGAGAAATAAATTTTCATGTAATAGTTATATTTTGGCATACCGTCTCGATAACAATTTCGGATTTTTGGCTAACAAATTGAAAATAATTTTCATAGAAATTATTTTTAATTATAAATAATTATAATTTCACTTTTCTAACTTTTAGTGCTACATGTTTATTATTTGTACGAGTAACTAATGTTACTAACATCATTGTGCGCTAGTGAAGAGAAGAATGCCTCAAAGAGATATCACATATAGTCAAAAAGTTATTTTTATCTAGATGCCAACAATATTGCAAAAAAAGAACGTGATAACATAGTTAAAAACATCAAAATTGTATGAAAAATGTGTCTACTAAATCATGAATAATTGGGCACTCTCCACAACATCTCCTGCTAAAAGAAATTTTGAGATTTCATGTTTAAGGGAAAAATAAAGGGAAAAAAAAGTGCAATTTATCATCCATATGTCCAAAATTAATATAAACGGTAGTATCTATAGTCGACAGAAATTTATTAAAAGATATTGGAACTAAGGCACATATCAGAGATTTATTAAAAAATAATATCACAAGGTATTGAAACTAGGCAAGGTCGGTGGTATATAAATTAACTTAGGAACAATGTTCGTATATTATATTCATGCTTATATTTATTTGTATATTTGTACTAGTAGCTTAAGGTAAGATAATTTTTAATAAAAATAATTTTCATATGGAAATTTATATCTATTTGTATCTTTTATGGAGGGTATAATTGGAAATTATTTGATTATTTTTATTCCCACTTAAGTGGGATTATCAATTCCTTGTTAAATGATTGGGAATGACAATTCCCACATAAAGTGGGAATTGATAAGAAGTGAGAATTTCAATTCTAACATCAAAAAATGCATCGTGTTTGGTACACATGAAAAAAAAGTTGGAATTGTATTCCATTCTCACTCATTCCCGCGTACCAAACGAGCCCTAAGTGATTCAGATAAACTTAATGGATCTAATTGGAAGACACCGTTGAAAATCCAACGCTAATATTTGTTGGATTTAGATTTTGATCTCTAATCAATATCCTAAATTTCCATCTGATTTTTTTTTACACATCAATATAAATTTTCGGGAAAAAATTATGTTCAAATATGACCAAACAACTTCAATTGTATAATAATCAAAATAGCTGATTAAAAAAAATTTAAAAACAAGAAAAACAAACCTATGCAAGCACCTATTATAAAACAAGGTTATAACTAGATATAGTAATAAGAATTAATAACTAATAATTAATTTTCGGAAAAAAAAATTAGGCTCAAACATGATCGAAGAACTTCAAGTAAATAATACCCTAAGTAGGTGATTTAAAGACAATAAAACAAATCTATGCAAGTACCTACTACCAATACATGTGGGAAAAAATCTCTGAACATGTGGGAAAAGAATGACAACATGATTTAGAGAAAAACAGAGCGGAGGGAAAAAAAATTAATTGTGGAGGACAAATATTACCTCTGATGAGGATTGCGATGACTTTCAAGGATGAGGGGAAGTGGGTTTCTAGGTCAGTTCGGAACCCAATCTCTGACACCTATAAATAGCATACTAGTAGACCGGCATCGCATGGTCTCTCTTTGGGCTTCATTGCTTCAAGTACGAAAGCCCGTTTAACTCGAAAGTGTTATTAAACACGGGCCTTCTGCACTGGCCCAAGAAATTAATAAAAACCAGTTTTTGATGCGTAAATATTTTCAAGTTAAGGGATGGAAAGAGGAAAATAAATATTCAATAAATAACTAGCTATAATCATTAGTTATATGAAAGATTAAAGAGCCTAATACTATGATTATTTATAGTCGATTTTTGTTCTCAGTGTCGATAGAAGTTTTCATGTCACCGTAAGTTATTCTTTATAAAAGTGAACATGTTGCTTAATTTGATAGGAATTCAATTCCTATATTCACGAAGCGCCAAACAAGCAGCCTAAATCAAATTAACTAAAAACACGAATTATTCGCCAATCCAAAGACGAGCAATCTACCTTAATTTCAAACGCAATTAAATTAAGCACATGACCGAATTCAAATTACTGTTTGCTTCCGTCCCAAATATTTTATGCGGTCAACTTATGATTGTTTATAACTATTGTTGTTGCTGTGATTATAGATTTAAGACGATATGAATGAATAAAGACCATAGCAATTGATTAAGGGCAAGTACCTTTTTCTAATATTAGTTTGATTACTTGCAACTAGTTGATATATATATTTTTTGTTGTCAATCTGGTAGTTCTTCTTCTAATTAATTTATGCACAAGTTTGCATCTGAGAATCCTACTTTTTGTTTTGTAGGAATACAATTACATTGAATTGGAAAGCAGGACTTAGGAAGCTTATCCAAGAAATTCAACGGTCCATAAAATTTCCACAGTTTTATCTTGTGCACTTTGAGATTTGGGGAGCTTCCTACAAAGATTTCAAATGTCACTGTTTATTCTATAAATTTATGACATTTATGAGTTAATCTTGAAAAATTTTGTGGGTCCTGGGACCTTTTTTGTGTGGCGTGGGGTGGGGGGTATCACAATTTTATTTAATCATGGGTTTTTGTGTAATCTCTACAGTTTTAGGATGTTCCCTACGAATATTGCTAATGTCGGGGTGTTTATGGGTTTTTTTCTCCAAATCTTGGGTACTTTTTTTTATAGCTAATGCTGCAAATTGGTGAAGTCCACCAGGGTTTTACTTGAGCTGTGCACTTCGGCCTTGTTTGTACGAGTTATTTCCTTGGCCCGATGTGTGCTTAGGCCCAGCGTTTTTATTTGGAAATTAGTTTTTAAATTTTGATATGGATTTGTCTTTATCCAATTCTAATTTGGAAATTAGTTCCCAAAATATATTTAAATGCAATTTGAATGGTTTTAAGTTTTATTTAGGACAAATTTTCAAAATAACCCCTTTAGAAATTTATTTTTAAAAAGCGATCCATTTATTAAAAAAACATTTATATACCGGCAAAAAAATACCCTAATGGACTGTTTGTATGAGGTTAGAAAAAATTCAAGGTGAAACTTTAACACGCTATTACCCTAGAAAAATTAACGGGAAAAACATGATCAAACTATTGGAAAATTACCAACTTTAAAGGTTATAGCAAGCAGATAAATCCGAATAAAATAAATAAGAGATAAGAAAATCAGGCCTGACGGGAGCATTCGTGTATTCACTGCCCTAGAAGATTGAGAACCCGTCTATCGCCCTGGCGTAAATGGTTCTCTCCCCCCTAGCGGTAAAAGTCCCCGGAAACGGTCGGCCTCCGTACTCGGGCGAGAGTACAGAGCTTCAGCTCAGATGAAAAAGATTGCCCAAAAAATTAATAACAAAATTTATAGAGGGAAAAAAATAATTTTCTTTAAAACCATAGGAGAGAAGAAACTTTATTTTTCTTGTCTTTTAGAATGTGAATAAGGGTGTATTTATAGGGTTGAGGGAGAGAGGATTCTTTTCAATTTTTCGATGTGGGACTAAAACACAAAGGCAAAATTGCCTTTTCTTAATAAATATCCAACAGTCCCCCTCAAAAGGCAATATTGACTGAAAACTCAGAAATCAATAAATAAATTAAGAAATCATAAAACAAATATAGGTTGGGCAACCTTACGTATCGTGAATTCGGGAGAGGTAGCTTTCGGTTTTGAACCTTTCCTTAGTGAGTTCATCGCCACTTGAGGGACATAATGGACTAAGCCTTGAATTAGGCCCCTTGAATCAGGTATTGATAAAAACACACACAATACATCTTCACCTATTGAGCAAAGCGGGTTGAGCGTTAAAGGCCATGCTCACAATAAACCGACTCATGAGAGTTTCTAGGGGTTAGCCCAGCTCCCCCTAACCGCGGCCATCACGGTTCCTCTCACGTAGGTAAGTCCTCAAAGGGTACTACAACTGTTTATTTAATACCCCCATAATACACACGTTGGACTTATTAAGAGTAAAACTCAGCCTAGCCAGCTGTATCATAAAAGCATCATCATCATAGAGAAGGGGTAGTAGCACAAGCTACATAATGATATATAAATATATCTAGGTCGATACTCCACACGAGTGTCACTAGTCCAGCTTGTTTCTACCACATTGAACCAACATTGGGACTACGTCTCCAAATAAGGGTTGGGTTGCCGCTGCCAGTGACCTTATCTATGGGCTTAACCACATCTCCCTCGATGAATCCAGAATCACACTCCTGGATAGACCCTTTGTCAAAGGGTCAGCAAGATTCTTTTCACAGACTTTACAAAGTCTAGAATCACAACTTTGCCTAGCAGGCGTTGTCTTTATTTATCAAGTTCTTAAATTATTTTGTAATTAGTCCTTCATATTGTTGAAATTGACTTTAGATCCCCTTCTTGTTAAGTTATTTTAAAATTGGTCTCTCCAGGCAAGAGTACAAGAAGCAAGAGGAGGGATTAATTTGAAACAACTTATAAGGACACGGGAACCTAATAGCAATTTTTAATTATTTGATGGACTAATTTCAATATAACTTTTATTCATCATATAGAAAGAAGTTATAAGATATACTTCTTGATTTGATTTTCCAGGACATTGATTCATCACATCTCCTATAACTAAACATATTAGTTGACAGCGCATATTTATATCAATTCTGATCATTTCCTAAAATCTCAAGAGAAAACATTATACATGTAGTCAAGCTATAAAATGATGATATGACATCAAAACATCTTAGCACAGAAGGTTATGGTCTATGAGCATATAAGATCATAGTCTATGTCTGAAGATGTAAATTTTAAATTCTTCTATTATAAGAGGTTGCAAATTGGTTGCCTTCAAAAGAGACCATCCAAATTTAAATTGGTTGCCTACAAAAGAGACCTTCCAAATTTAAATTGGTTGTCTACAAAAGAGACCTTCCAAATTTATGTTGCCATTTTCTAGTACCACATCTTAAACACATAATAATAATAATAATAATAATAATAATAATAATTGTACATATGTGCTTTAAATTTTACAAGTGCATTCTTGTATAAAACCTTGTAATTAATCATGTAACAAATGCAAGTTATCTAAAAGGACATATGAACATTTATTGCAAGAACAAATGCAAGTTATCTAAAAGGACATATGAACATTTATTGCAATATCCATCATAACGCAATAAAAAAGATGAACTTTACATTTGAACAAAGGACATATGAACATTTATTGCAATATCCATCATAACGCAATAAAAAAGATGAACTTTACATTTGAATATTTGAAATATAATCTACCATATAAAATAGAATTTTAAAAAATACACCTCTTTGATTTGATTCGCTTATATATTGATCATTTATCATTAGGCAATATATGATGCAAGAAGCGTAATTAAATAAATGCATATGAAATTTTCTCATAATTCCGGTCCTTTTATTCCAAACAAAAAACTTCTAAAGCGAAAAGATTAATGTTTTACCTGAGTAGTTAGCCAGGTAAGGATAGTAATAGAGGTTGATCAAAGATCAATTAAGTACATCGTTCCTTGCAGAGCGCGTTACGCAACCCCTAAACCTTGTCTTAGACACCAACTAATCCAAGTAAACTTGAATCGGTTCACTCAATAAGTTTTTGTTCCTTAACAGTATATAGAAACTTAAAATATTTCTTGCAAGTATTTAATTTGCCTAGCAATTATACTACAAACATATGTTAGATAAGGCCGAGGAGGGGTTTACCTATTGATGTTCGAACCTCATGATTTTCATGTCTTGAGAGTAAAAACCCATCTGTTGCAGACAACTGCCACTTAAGTTGCTGAACAAATCTGCATTCACTTTTACCACCTTTTGTACTGAGCTTATTAGATGCATAAGCACTCCAAAGTATGGAATTATTAATAATCGAAGGTACCATATTGATAGGTTAAAGAAATGAAAGCATTAAACCATGAAAAAATCCAGATATTTCAAAGATTGATAGGTTAAAGAAATGAAAGCATTAAACCATGAAAAAATCCAGATATTTCAAAGCATCTATGCATCCAGAGTTTGTTCTCTTTATTCTTGTCAAAACCATGCATATGAAATTTTTAAGAATAAAAATATACACTGCTACAAATTTATAGCATGTTTCAAATGCGTGTATATTCACTAGCACAAGGGGATAATGGTAGGTTTTAGATGATTCTAACAAATATAAACTAGGCTTTTAGAAACCAATAAAGGTTCTTTGATATTCGTAACTTGCAATAGTTATTGATTATAAAACAACTATAAGATAAATATAATTAACTGTTAAATTAAATTAACAGAAATATTTAACTACAACTTTTTTATTTAAAAAAATAACCAAAACTGTTTAAATGAACAGTAGCATTTTTTAATAAAATGAACAGTAACGCTTTTAACATAAATGAACAGTAACAGTTACATTTTTGTGAACAGTAACAATTTTTTTTGCAATTAAGTAAATGTAATGAATGCAATAATTAAATGTAATGAATGCAATAATTAACAGTAATTAAAACAATTAATTAAATTAACAGAAATACTTAATTACAAATTTCGGATGAACAGTAACCGAAATTTATTATTATTATTATTTTTACAGCAATTAATTACTAGTTACACTAACAAATAATGAAAGCAATTAGATTAGATGAACAATAACAATATTGCTTAATAAACAAAAAAATTTCCCCGAGTGAACAGTAACCCTCGGTGAACAGTAACATTTTTTAAAAATTTTAATAACAACTAAATTAAATTATTAGTTAACAAATAAACAAGGGCAAGTACGTAAAGCAAATTACAACAACTTACTATTATTAATTTTTTCTTTTTTTAACAGAAAGAAATATATATTTTTCCGGATTAAAAGCAAAAGCTATAAACTTATCAATAATAGCTATAATCTCAATCTTCTAGATTGTTGGAAATTTACCAACTTTAAAGGTTATAGCAAGTAGATAAATCCGAATAAAATAAATAAGAGATAAGAAAATCAGGCTTGGCGGGAGCAGTCGTGTATTCACTGCCCTAGAAGATTGAGAACCCGCCTATCGTCCTGACGCAAATGGTTCTCTCCCCCCTAGCGGTAAAAGTTCCCGGAAACGGCCGGCCTCCGTACTCGGGCGAGAGTACAGAGCTTCAGCTCAGATGAAAAAGATTGCCCAAAAAATTAATAACAAAATTTATAAAGGGGAAAAAACAATTTTCTTTAAAACCAGAGGAGAGAAGAAACTTTATTTTTCTTGTCTTTTAGAATGTGAATAAGGGTGTATTTATAGGGTTGAGGGAGAGAGGATTCTTTTCAATTTTCCGATATGGGACTAAAACACAAAGACAAAATTACCTTTTCTTAATAAATATCCAACACAAACAACTTCAAGTAAATAATATTT